TGACCAGTTTCTCCAGTGTGACCAGTTTCTCCAGTGTGACCAGTTTCTCCAGTGTGACCAGTTTCTCCAGTGTGACCAGTTTCTCCAGTGTGTCCAGTTTCCCCAGTGTGTCCAGTTTCTCCAGTGTGTCCAGTTTCCCCAGTGTGTCCAGTTTCCCCAGTGTGACCAGTTTCTCCAGTGTGACCAGTTTCCCCAGTGTGACCAGTTTCTCCAGTGTGACCAGTTTCTCCAGTGTGTCCAGTTTCCCCAGTGTGTCGAGTGTTTCTGACTCACCCAGCCCCAGTAGCAGCAGAACCTTCAGCTGAGCCATTGGTGGTCCAGCTTCCTGTGAATAAATGTCTGCAGTCCTGCAGCAGCTTTTAAACTCTGTTCACAACTTCCTGCTGGAGAGACAGACACTGATCTGTCCAATCACAGGACGGACACTGATCTGCGCTGTTATCTGCATACAGAGTGGGGTTGCCACCTTTCCAAAATGAAAATGTGCGACGCCCACTACATCGCCCTACTCTCATTTAACAGATCTGCAGCCAATGACTTGAGACTGAGGGTGTTACTGACAGAGGATCGCCTTTGCCTTAAGGCGAGGTAGCACAGGTCAACAGTGGTTGCCAGGAACATGCCGCAGACTTAGCTTTGAGGGTGTTTTCTAACTTGCCATTTTCTTTAGCTTTAGCTTTGCAACTAGCTAAAACAGAGGAAAGCACAGAATTATTTATTCCCGACAATCCCCCTGTTCTTCTGGGGCGGTATTTCTACCACCCCACTCCAGTTTGGTGCAGATGTTGGAGATGCTAGCCTCGGGTGACTGCTGCTCGGTGTTAAGAAAATAAATTTAAAACATGCTAGTTTTAAAACTTAAAATGTCTTGATTGAAATAGCCTAATTATAATTTTCAGATGAATAACTTATTCTGCCCTATTGAACTTTATGTTACCTGTAGTTACAGCAGATTGTTTGCTAAGATCCTTTGTCTGTGTGGGAAACAATCAGGAGAAGTTCCAGCTTTAAAACTGATCTGTGAAAAGCCATAAAAGAGCATGAGTCTAGGCCAGTGGAGGAGAACCTCTGCTTCCACTTTGTTTAGATAAAGGAGACAACTGGTGTTTGATCTTGTAAACAAATTGCAGGGAGTTTCTAACTTTAAAGAAGGTCAGAGATAGTTCCTGGTTGGATGAGCAAAGCTACGCCTTATTTGAATAAATTAAAGACAAGAATACTCCTTTACTATAAAACTTTGTACACAGGAGTAACACATCAGATTTTGCTCTATGCAATTTCTCCGAAGACATCTTTGCTTTTTGTTTGTCGTTTCCATCTTTTATCTTTTTCCCTCTCTCAGGGAAATTCATGTGTTGTTTGTGCTCTGAGTTTTCTGATGTGCTTTTCTGGTGATGGTATGTATCTGTGTTGAATAAATGCTGATTATGGTGATGCTGTTATCTTTGTGTGATCTCAGTCTTTGCGCACAGCATTTTCTGAATCCAAGCATAAGAGAGGATATAACAAGTCAAAAGGTTTTAAAAAAGGGTTAATAAGTTTTAGAATTTTTTCTCTCTTAATATCGGTCATCAGCAGCTTGTCAAACCACTGTAGCTTGAGCTCAGCACCAGTGTTGTAGTACTCGAGATCGGTCTTGGTCTCGAGACCATTTATTGATGATTTCGGACTTGTCTCGCTCTCTGAGGACTCTGCATTTTATTTCAAGACCAGTCGAGACTACAACTGTGAAAATATCACTAAACGTACAGCATATTATCAGGTTTATTTGTTAATATCTTTGTTTTCAAAGATATTGGTGTTCCTCTTCATGTGATTAAAAACTTGTCACATTTTCAGAGTCAGTTCAGGGAAAATATAAACTGAACAAACTGAACCATGAATGTAAAGACAAACAGCCAGGAAATGTTGCTTTTTCAATGCATTCATTGATTTATTGTTAATTTCTGAGTGGAGAAAGATCCATTAGGGAGATCAAGGTTAGGTGAAAACAAACAAAGCTATTGATTTATTCTGCTCCTACAAACATGTGGATCAAACTGATCAAGATACAATAATGAAATTATATCTGAGAGGAAATTTGATGAGAATTATATT